TCTCACCATTTCTGACTTTTTTTCAGAATTCCGAGTTTATATTCTCACCATTCTGACTTTTTTCTCAAAATTCCGAGTTTATATTCTCCCCATTCTGACTTTTTTCTCAGAATTACGAGTTTAGATCTCGCCATTCTGACTTTTTCTCAGAATTCCGAGTTTATATCTCGCCATTCTGACTTTTTTTCAGAATTCCGAGTTTATATTCTCACCATTCTGACTTTTTTCTCAGAATTCCGAGTTTATATGTCGCCATTCTGACTTTTTTCTCAGAATTACGAGTTTAGATCTCGCCATTCTGACTTTTTCTCAGAATTCCGAGTTTATATCTCGCCATTCTGACTTTTTTTCAGAATTCCGAGTTTATATTCTCACCATTCTGACTTTTTTCTCAGAATTCCGAGTTTATATGTCGCCATTCTGACTTTTTTCTCAGAATTACGAGTTTAGATCTCGCCATTCTGACTTTTTCTCAGAATTCCGAGTTTATATCTCGCCATTCTGACTTTTTTTCAGAATTCCGAGTTTATATTCTCACCATTCTGACTTTTTTCTCAGAATTCCGAGTTTATATGTCGCCATTCTGACTTTTTTCTCAGAATTACGAGTTTAGATCTCGCCATTCTGACTTTTTCTCAGAATTCCGAGTTTATATCTCGCCATTCTGACTTTTTTTCAGAATTCCGAGTTTATATTCTCACCATTCTGACTTTTTTCTCAGAATTCCGAGTTTATATGTCGCCATTCTGACTTTTTTCTCAGAATTACGAGTTTAGATCTCGCCATTCTGACTTTTTCTCAGAATTCCGAGTTTATATCTCGCCATTCTGACTTTTTTTCAGAATTCCGAGTTTATATTCTCACCATTCTGACTTTTTTCTCAGAATTCCGAGTTTATATGTCGCCATTCTGACTTTTTTCTCAGAATTACGAGTTTAGATCTCGCCATTCTGACTTTTTCTCAGAATTCCGAGTTTATATCTCGCCATTCTGACTTTTTTTCAGAATTCCGAGTTTATATTCTCACCATTCTGACTTTTTTCTCAGAATTCCGAGTTTATATGTCGCCATTCTGACTTTTTTCTCAGAATTACGAGTTTAGATCTCGCCATTCTGACTTTTTCTCAGAATTCCGAGTTTATATCTCGCCATTCTGACTTTTTTTCAGAATTCCGAGTTTATATTCTCACCATTCTGACTTTTTTCTCAGAATTCCGAGTTTATATGTCGCCATTCTGACTTTTTTCTCAGAATTACGAGTTTAGATCTCGCCATTCTGACTTTTTCTCAGAATTCCGAGTTTATATCTCGCCATTCTGACTTTTTTTCAGAATTCCGAGTTTATATTCTCACCATTCTGACTTTTTTCTCAGAATTCCGAGTTTATATGTCGCCATTCTGACTTTTTTCTCAGAATTACGAGTTTAGATCTCGCCATTCTGACTTTTTCTCAGAATTCCGAGTTTATATCTCGCCATTCTGACTTTTTTTCAGAATTCCGAGTTTATATTCTCACCATTCTGACTTTTTTCTCAGAATTCCGAGTTTATATTCTCACCATTCTGACTTTTTTCTCAGAATTCCGAGTTTATATGTCGCCATTCTGACTTTTTTCTCAGAATTACGAGTTTAGATTTCGCAATTCAAAACTTTTTCTCGCAATTGCGAGTTTATATCTCACAATGGTGACTATTTCTCAGAATTGTGAGTTTATATCACCCAATTCTGCAAAAAAAAATCTGATTTGCGAGAAAAAAGTTGCAATTGGTGGAAACAGGCTTCCATAAATATCTGATGTTAACTATAGACTGAAAAGTGAAAGATTGAGGAGTGTCGCACCTTTGCAGGCTCGGCGGTGTGTGATGGGTTTGCCCATGTCTCTGTAGAATCCCTCTTTGCAGTAATGGCAGTGGCGTCCAGCAGTGTTGTGTCTGCAGTTCATACACACTCCTCCGCTCTTACGGCCCGACAGCTTATACAACTCCATGTTAAAGCGACAGCGCCGCGCGTGCAGGTTACAATTGCACGCTATAAAGAAAGACAGGGTGAACATGTTATCGATGGAAGTTACATATCACGCATATGTGCATATGGTGTTTTCTCAAAAAGATGATTGTTTGAGACATACAATATAATTAAAAGGATTTTACAGTCTGACACTGCAGGAGAAGCTTTAGATCTCCACATGAAATGTTTTATTATCTATTTTTTTAGTAAGTTATCTGTTGAAACTAGAAAACAAAACACTGATCTGAGGAACCTTTAATGAAACAAACTTTATTAGTCTCCAAAGAACCATACAACAACTCAAGATCTCTAAGATCTTAAAAAAGGCCTTTATATGTACTGACCCTTTATTTTTCAAGTCAACATGAAACAAGGTTTGCAACCCATTTTACTTCTATAATCTGATTATTTCACAGTGTTTTCAGAGTGTTGGACTAAATAGCTATTTTAATATTGGTTCAAATAAACTAAAAGCACACATGGCCTAAATGACGTCAAGCAAAAAGGGATACTGTTTCAGAAGTAGAGCATAAGTTATTACGATTTGATGAAAAATTGTAAAAAAAAAAAATAAAAAAAAAAGAGTAAAATTAATAAATAAGATACACTGAGGAATCATTCAAAATAAAACTAGGAACATGATTTAAGAAAGTAAAAATAGGTTTAATTTTGATTTCATGCTGACTTCTGAGACATAAAAACCATAGATCCGGAGCAAAATGTAGTCATGTATAATTATGTATGTGTATAAATATATTATTATTATATATATATATATATATATATATATATACACACACACACACGCACACACAAACATAACGTTATATATTTATACAGTATATATAAAATTCCTTTATATATTCAAATATTTGCTCTAAAAGGTTAAAGGTTTAAAAGGTTTTATCTTTTTCATTTTAAGATTTGAAATGCCTACCAGTTTCATTTCAGTGTTTGACTTTGTCCGTGTGTGTGTGTGTGTGTGTTATTACAGGGCCAATTTGTATGGAATTCTGTGGTTAATGAAACCTGCTTGGGCCATTCCCTCACACACACCATCTGCTGCTCTGTGTGTGTGTGTGTGTGTGTGTGATGAAAAGGGGGTGTAATTTCGGGGGGTTTCTGGGTTAAAGTCAACAGAGTTTACAGCAAATTCAACTCGATAAACGTCTGCAGGCGATGTGTGTGTGCGAGCGTTGTAAGGGTGTGTGCATTTCTCCAAATGAAATTCCAAAAGCGTGACAAAAAGAGCACATATTCACACCCAAATAAAGTGCTACATGGTCACACACACGCACAAGACAGAGACTGAATTCTTAAGGCATACGGTCTAAATATGAACACTTTCTAGGGCGTTTCCAGATGGGGTCTGATTTGAGCGGGAAGGCTTTGGAAACGAGCACAGGTTTGCTGATATCTCCCAGCGCTGCGTTTGTGCCTTGAGCATGGTACTTAATCTAAAGCTGTTCCAAGGGTCTTTCTCAATGGCACCCTTCCTCTATTACAAGAGCTTTCCAAACACAGCTGAAAGCACTCAAACCTATTAACCTGAGGTTAGAGCAAGCCCAGAGCTCCAAATTCATTTATGTAGAGCAGAAACGTTAGTTTGATGGAGCGTGCGCTACAGGTATGCACAGAACTACACCCAAAAACACATTTCTGTAAACGCCATACACGGGCACGTTTAACTCTACATGCTTTGGATTATGATGTCTAAATTAATATGATTAATTAACTGTACAAACTATAATTATACTAATATTGCTTCTTCGCTAACCTGAAGTATGAGCAACAGTGATAGTGATGCTTGTCTTAGTGAACGCCACTAATAAAAAGCACCAAAACCGCAGAATAACACCTTCCACAGAACATCACCTGTGCGTTTTAACACACATATGTTTTATCAACTAGGAATAACAGCTCATTTAAAATTCCATCCGTGGTTTTATGTGAGCATAAATATCAGAACATTTGGCTCACAGGTGTTTCTAATTGATTAGGTGTTTCCTGTTGCGTAGATTGTTCACACATGAAAGAGCCGTGAAGTCTCACGTCTCCGTTCAGATCTTTTGTTTTCTGCCTGTGAGGGAAAAGCGAGTGTTTTTAGAATCCAAAAGAATTAGGAAAATTGGGAAAAGTCATAACACAAGAGTTGGGTGTAGCCAGAACAGCAATTTGGCAGTGAAGCTGCTTTGAAACTGTAGCTGGTCGAGCTACAAGCTACTCATAATTTAAATGACAAACAAGCTACTAGAAAACAAATGGCTAACTACTCTGTATAGCCAATATTTTTTTATTTTTTGCACACAGTATTTTTTGGCACAAAAACAATTAGAATCTCTATTAGGGTAAGAGCATAAACAAATACATTTACATTAAATACAACGAATATATGGTGTGTTTTCTAGTTTTATTAGTTGTACTTATTGTAAATTGATTTGTATAATGATCAATAGAGATCCTCATATATAATATTTAGCTACAAAAAAAGATAGAAATTAATGTGTAAAATGTCTTCAACACAGGACCTCAAATGAATCAGTTAATCTGTTTCAGTTTAGTGAATCGGTTCATTCGGATGATCATCTGATGTTATTCAAGTGGTTCGCAAAAAGTGAATTGCATAACATTTTTGAATGAACCAGTTCACTAAAATCTTCCTATTGCTATATGAGAACAAATAAATAACAATCTCCAGAACACTGTACGAATCCTGCCAGGTTCGTTGGTAGGCCCTTCAAAAACACAACAAGATGGTGATTCAAAACAACCAAAAAAAAACAGGAAAATGTTCGATTAGTCAAGTCAATCTCGGCCCTTGGCGGACATGTTTTTAATCTTTTAAACTTCTATTCAACTAAAGAGGCATTTCACTTGCTGAAGAGTGACTCACTTCCAAACTCCCAGAAACAGGCAACAGCTGGAAGTTTCTTCTCTGAAGGTTTGGCACAGGACGATAGTGCAAGACTAGCGATGTTGATGAGTTACAGACACGCCGCCGCTATTTCATGCTGGAGATCTCTGACTAAACGCTACATTTTATAAGCTTTATATTTGTTTTGAAATGCCACGATACTTACGCTCACATAAAATGGAGTAATAGGGCGCTGAGAGTGCTTTTATTTATTAATTTACTTAACTGGTTACATGTGTTTAGACGAGCCCAACATAAAAGGTGGCATTTAGTATTTTTGGTTTACAGGCATCTTTCAGAATGTTTAGATACTGCTGGAGTGAACAGGAAATATAGAAATCCAGTCCAAATTTCTAGATGGCTTTGGTTTTACAAGAGCACAAACAATTTTTTTAACAAGTTCTTCGACAAATGTGTCCTTTGAATCGTAGCACGCAAAGAAACAAAACGACAAGCTAGTTCCAAGACACATAATCGCTGGCAGACTAACAAATAAACAGGAAGATAAACACATCTCTACAAGGTTTCTCTTCAGCATCACAGCTTTATATCATTAACGCTCTGTGTGGCGTTTTTTTCTTCCCCTCGGAAGCAGCATGTTTTGGTTTGTGACGTATAGGAAATCCAAGGCAGTAAAAGTGGGCTTGTGTGTGTGTTTAATGAGGATATGGTTAGTACTCATACTTCCAGTGTCCTGTGCAGGTGGCCGTGACTGGCATATACACACATACACACACACTTTATTATATTAACCTAGCAACTGCATAGCAACTAACTAACAACCACTTAGAACTCATTAGTAACTGCATATAAAACACAATATCAAGCACTTAGAACACACCTGAAACCGCATAGCAACTTTACCGGCAACTCATAACACCCTGGCATGATACACTAACTACCAAAACTGCATAGCCAACACTAACAATACTGAACACCCCAGCAACCCCATAGCACCGCACTAACCGCCACTCAGAACACTCCAGCAACTGTATAGCAACACATTAACAATCACTTAAAATACCTTAGAAACTGCATAGCAATGCACTGATGCTCAGATGTTCAGAACACCCCAGCAACTGCATAGCAACACATTAACACACCTAGAACACCCCAGCAACTGCAACGACCACCTAGAACACCTTAGAAACTGCACAGCAACACACTAAAAACACAGATCAGCCCAGCAACCACATAGTAACACACTAAAACTCACCTAAAACACCCCAGCAACTGCATAGCAACACACTAACACTCACCTAAAACACCCCAGCAACAGCATAGCAACACACTAACACTCACCTAAAACACCCCAGCAACTGCATAGCAACACATTAACACTCACCTAGAACTCCCCAGCAACAGCATAGCAACACACTAAAACTCACCTAAAACACCCCAGCAACTGCATAGCAACACATTAACACTCACCTAAAACACCCCAGCAGCTGCATAGCAACACATTA